GGAAGTGGAAGAACAGATGCCGGAAACCTTTACTGGCGCTAAGTAACAGCATTGTTCCTTCAAGTTTAACTCTTGTTAAGGTACTTGTTTCTTTGTAATGTTACAGCTTGTCTTTCAGTAAGCCATTTTGTTTACATATTCTCATAAATGTTTGAAGATATCATGCAAATCTTATGCATAAAAGCTGACAGTTTCCCTGTGTCTTTCCACCATATAAAGCACTTGTACTTTTTTGTCTTACCTACTGCATCTGCCTTCTCCTGTCAAAATTCTGTTGTATAAATTATTCACCTTTTCCCACTCACAAATTAAGTCCATCCTGAAATCATATACTATTTCACCCAAAAAACCCCTTCTTTATCTAAGCTAAATATGGCATCACAGAATCATAGAGCTAGAAGGGATTTTGGAGGTCTTGAAGTCTAACCTGCCCAAGATAAGAGTCATTATACCACTCAACAAATTGTTGCCTATTTGGTACTAGTGTATTTGGTTTTCCCTGCCTAACTTTTCTCAGCACTGAACTGCATCTTGTTACATAGGACCCAATGCTCAAGTCTGTCAAGATCTTTCTGAATCTTGGGTCTATCTTCCAAAGTACTTGTTAATTCCCCCCACTTGGTGTCATCCACAAATCTGTTAAGCGCTTCTTCAATCGCCTCATCTAGGTCATTTATGAAGAGGCTGAGGAACATGGGGCCCAAGACAGAACCTTGATGTACCCTACTGCATGTTTCCCTCCATGTAGATGTAATTGCAGGATTACATGCTGAATGTAGTTAGTCAGCCAACTTCAAATCAATCTGGTGGTGATATTTTCTATCCCACATTATTCTAACTTACCAAGAAGTGGGCTGTGGTCTATTTTGTCAAATGCCTTACTGAAGTCTAAGTAAATTATGTGCACAGCATTTCTTTGGTCCACTAATTTAATCACTTTATCACAGAAAGCAGTACAGTTTGTTTAACATGATTTGTTTTTAACAAACCTATGCTATTTCTAGTAATCACCTTGTTCATTTCTATGTGCTCACAAATCCACTGCCTGATTATCTTTTCCAGGATTTTCCCAGGTATTAATGTCAAGCTGATTGGTCCGTAGTTTCTTGGACCTTGTTTTTTCCCCTTTTTGAAGAATGGAACCACATTAGCTCTTTTCCAGTACTCCGAAGTTCCTGCATGCTTCAGGAGTTCTGAAAAATTTCATTTAGTGGTTCCAAGATCACATCTGCCAGCATGCCTATACATGCTTTATTATGGAATCTTTGGTATTTTCTGAGCTTGGTTGTTGTTTGCAGATGTTTCATTACCCAACTAGGTAATATTACCTGTGTCACTGATGATGTTACCTAGTTGGGCACTGAAATTCTGCAAACAAACAAGCAAGCTCAGAAAGCACTAAAGACTCTACAGTTCAACTCTGGGTTACATATATTTCCTTCTATTGGATGTATGCTTTACCTTTGAAACTCTTCCACAATTTCTATTTTAAAAATAGTGAAGCAGAGACAAATCTCTGTCATTTGACCATTTCCATTAATAACTCATAACTCTTCCAGAAATATCCTGTAATTAATTTGATCCTATCCATCCAAGTTACATCTTCTGTTTGCTTGCTTCAATCTTGTCAAGCATAATTTGTTATAATCCATTATCTTCTTGTATCACATGCCCAGATAATAACAATGCTTGCCCAGAGACTTATTGATTTGTTATTTATTCTCATACTTTGTGTTATCTTAATTCAAGAAAGATCTCTGAAGGAAAAAAGACTGGTTCTATACATTTTACTTTAGTCAAATATTTTCCATTAAATTCCCTCTTAATTCTGTAAGAAAGTTGACATTAAGATCAACATGATTAATTCATTAATGACCTTGTCTTGACCATTTCTTTCCTCATCTTGTGAGAAAGTATTCCATCTTTCTTATGTAAGTACTTATTTACTTTTCATTTTGGCTACATCTTCTATCATACCTCTGAGATAGATCTTAACAATGGTGAAATGTGTTATCAGAGCTTCAGGGTATAGAATACTTTAGGGACAAACTTCATCTTCCTCCCCAAATTCACCCACTTACCAGATTAAAATCCATTGACTTTACAGTTAAAGATATATAAAATGCAAATATATTCAATAATGATGTCTGCCAACAAAGGATAAGTAAACTGCTGGAGCAAGCAACCTTTCCTGCTGGAGGGTCATAGCTAGAGACTAAAGATCGTTACTATTATCCTGGTATAAAACCATCCAGTTCAAGTCATTGGAGGCACTTTTGATAAACCTATTGTAAACTAGCATAGGAAAACATATGGGACTTTGTGAAGTTTTTCATTCTAAATTACCCATACAGATAGTCCTTGGTTTACAATGGCAACTAGGACTAGGATTGCCATTGCTAAGCAATGCAATAATAAAACATATCATATGACAACATCGCTTAGCAACAGCAACCCCAGCAGTCTTGGTTGCTTATAGCCCCAAGATGTGCAGGTTATTAAAAAGGAAGCAGGTTATTAAAAAGGAATCCCAGTTAAGAAGCACCAGGGTGCCACAGGAGGCTAGTGTGATGTTGCAGGGAATGGGGTAGGCTAGAAGATGTACCAGCAGCACTGGCATAGGCCAGAGATGAATCAAGGGAGGCCCAGGGATGGGGGGGAAGTCTTAGGACACTGTGGGCAAGGGATGCTGCAGATGCAATTAGGTTTACTGACATCGTACTATTGGATCAAGGGAAAAATCTACAAATATTTAATAGGAGGATGAAATAAATATCTTGGTTTGCACAAGGGAATTCCATGCTACATTTCAATATATTTCTTCCAGAATTCCTGTAACATTAGTTTTTTTGTTTTAATTTGGTATTTTCCTTTTCAGTTGTTTTTTTTAATTGGTAATTGTCTAATTCAATTGTTTTTATTAGCAATAGATGCTTTTTACTTTTTAAAAGCCTGTCAACTGAATGCAAATCAAATGTAATTCTGAATTGCAAATGTATAAAATTTGGAAATGTGAATGTAATTCTGAATTATATAGCAAAAATTTCAAATTGATTGTTATAAATTAGTTGAACATAGGACATTGTAGAAAAAGATAGTTTCTTACAATGGAAAAATGATACCATTCCACCTTTGCAATCTTTGACTGGGAATACATTTCACCCTCTGCTTATCAACTAGATTTCTACTGATGTAATGGAAATACTGATCAATGTTAGTATGTGGTCAAAGTTTAATGCTATTTTTAAAAACTGGGTTACTTATATACTTTTTATACTTTGTTCTTTTTCATTTTTTTTATCCTTTATTTCCGGATCTTTATATAAAAAGGATCACCTCAGAACACTAAACCTGATACAGCATTGCCTAGAAATATAATTAGTGGGATTTCATTTCCAAAGAAATGGAACAAAAGGTCAGGTTTTTTATTTATTGAATGTAATACTAAGCCACATACAATGATCAATCTTTGATGTAACCCTTAAATCCATTGAAAAAAATCTAACCAAGAGCCTAAAAATCTGAACTCATTTAGTTGCCCCCAAGAAATCAATCTCTGCACACAACATACAGAAAACAAACAAATTAAAAAATGTAGGTGATAACTATTTCTGTGGAAGCCTCACTCCATGAAAACTCAGTGGTTTGAACATTAGGATTTACATAACAAATTTCAAAAGGCTGTGAGTAAGATTTTAAAAAATGGAATTCTGGCTGATTATTCAATATGCCCAACACGAGCCACATGTCACATGTCCAGATACCTACTACTGCTTATTATTAAGTTATCAGCTCAAAGGCCTCCAGCAAGATGAGCTGAAAATACAGAGAAGTATATACAATAAGTAGAATATTTTGGAAATCAGCTCAGTCTCTAAAAATAGAGACTCTAAAAATATTTAAATGTATTCATTATTGAACAACCTGATAATTACAATGTTAAATCTTAAAACACAGAAGATAAATTCATATTACACAAAAATGCCAACAATTTTAAACACTATTATTCAGAGATACTCATCCTGCTAAATATTGAATTCCAAAGCCAATAAGTAGTGTTTTTACCCATTGTGACAGCTGATGGCTTTAAAACATTACCCCCAGTATTAGGACCATTCATCTTACCAGCCATCACCATACCTAAAAACATAGGTAGAAAGATTAAAGGAGTTTCTTTCTAGAAAGAAAAGATAATATGTGTTTCTTTAGGCACAAATAATTATTAATCTAGTAACTGAAAGGTAGAACACAAAAATGTCTTCACATAAAGATGTAGTTAAAAGCATTTGGCAATGAAGTGAATAAGCATCACTGGATGGAACAATAATGTTTTACAGCCAACAAAGGGAAAAATTACTTTTGATTAAAATCCAGAATGTCATCACCTGGCCCCAGGTCAGTGCTCACTGCTACTCTGTACTCATCTCCACCAAGTGAAGCTACATCCCGTGGCATCTTCTGTCCCAAAGTTCATCTATGTAAGGTTAATAAATTAAAATTGGCAAAACCCCAGGACAAGATAATTTGTTTTTGCAGATAATACCTTAAAAATACAACATCAGAGTGTAGTCTAAATGCTTGTGGTAAAAACAAGACCATATTAGAAACAGGAAGAGGACGAAGTCCTAAATGAAAGGCCAATACTATTACACAAAGATACATCCATTGCGCTTTCAATTAAATGTGCTAGTAGAAACACAGGTTAGATTAAGATCTGTACTAGTGTTAATTAAAGAGAACTATATATTAATATGTGGCTATGGGACAGATTTTCATACAAGCATGCATAAAACAGGTGAAGCAAGATCCATTCTTTTACCATAAAAAGCAGTGTTTTTTATAGACAACAAAGTGTGAAGAAAACTTTTACCTGAAAGGCAAGATGTGCAAGCTTTGACTAAAGTCAAACTTCCACTGATGGGTCCCCTCAGCGAGATGTCTGGAAGCCAACTTACTCTTTACACAGAAACAAAATGCATGAATTAGAAACCAGGACCTACCATTGAGACCATTTGGGATGCTCCTGTGGTGAAGAGGAGCAGAAAGGTCATCCATAGATCTCCGGATGGCTCCAGCTTTGTTTTCAACAACTTTGTGATGGTGAAGGAGATGGTGGTGGTGGTGATCTGGACTTCCTGCACTGCCAGCACTAGATGTACTACTCCCATCTCCAACATCCCTGGTTCCAGAACTCCCATTGAGGTTGGTGAGACTAGCTTGGCTATCTATGGAGCTTCGGGAGCCTGCTCCATTCCTCTCTTCATCCAGCATTAGCACAATCTCCTTCAGCTCAACATTCTCTCTCAGGAGGGATTCTTGCTTAGCTTCTAATTCTTTGAGCTTCTGCTGGTACATTCCAACTTCCTTCCACACTACACCTGCAGTGTGTCTCCCAAACCTCTGCCATTCTCTGGACAGCTTTTTCCCCTTTTGCCTATCATCATCCAAGAAACAGCAGAGCTCCCTCAGTTCCTGGTTATCATCCTGGAGCTTCTGATTAACTTCTTTCAAACCCCTGATCTCATGCAGGTGAACTTGCAGTCTTCTGTTCACATCTTTCATCAAGTTGCTGTGCTCCACCATCAAGTTCATTTTTTCATTTTCTACTTTCTTCAACCTTTTCACCAACTCTTCCTTGTTCCATTTCAAAAGATCTTCTTCTGTCATTTTGGTCAGGTCTTCCTTTGACCCTTCTACAGAATTTTTTGCCATATTTATATTCTACTTCCCCTTTGGAAGGAGATAAGAAGACACAGACTGTTCTTTTCAAGGAATATTATTTTAAATACTCTGTAAGTTCAAACTTCACAGCAACATTGTGGAATGTAATTTTGTATTTTAAAAATCCTACAATTCTTCAGGGAGGACAAGATCACAAAAAACTGTAAATCTGTTCATTTCTGTAAAATGTTTTCTCTGCCTTACAACTCCCATGCCTAAATAAAATAAAAATGAAAAAGAATGAGCACCCAAAGCTTCGTATATATTTTTAAAAGCCTTTCAAAAGTGAAGCAAGTCAACTTACCAAAGGCTATCACAGCTGCAGCAATAAGAATGAATTTGTTAGCTTAAAAATCAACCTGCTCGGGTTCAGTATCCACGCCGCGTAGATTTCCAACAGATAAAACCTATATAAGGTTGAGAAACGGTCAGGTTCTAGCTTAAATGACCCAACCCCTCCGTCCGCAGCAATTAGAGTTAGAAAGAATAAAATAAAATGCAGCTTTTTATAACCGATCCCTTCCTCCGCTTTTTTATGCTTTTAGTTCTAAGACAGCCTTCCGGATGATGTCAGTCTCTTTGTAAACTGCATTTAAATTTTCAGAAAAACCATCGGAAAGGAACTGAGAGCTTGGAACAAGGCATCGCCTATTTCAAGCGAGAGGGAAGAAGGAAGATGGGAAAGGACATTCCAGGATGAGAATCTGCAATACACCTTGGAGAAGCAACACGAAAAATAAAAGCAAGGACCAAAAATAAAAGAGAAATCAAATAAGCACAGCGGCTTATGTACGAGTACAGCTCCACTCGATCCTCCGGCACTGCTCAGTTTTATCGGAGGGAGGGAATTAGCGGGCTTGGCTCCTCCTCCTGACTCCTGATTGGCCAATCAGATGGTCCGGGCTCGGTTCTTCTCCATGCCCCAGCCTGGTGCGTTCAGGTTGCATTTCACTTTCCGCCTTGGGTCGGGTTACGGGGAGAAGTGATAATTTCTCCCGGAACCAATGAACTGGCAGCAAGAGCGCATTTCAAAAAAGCAGGTACAAAGGGAAAGGTAGAGCGCCGTGCCTCTCTTAAAGGGGCCGCAATCTGTTTTCCACCTCTGCCTGGAGCGGGTCTCTGTAAAACCATCTCGCAGCCCTCCCTCGCCTCTGACTTTCCCTAAAAGTCCGCTCTAATCCTCTTCCATTAGGGAGATAACTTTGGACGAGAGGATTCAGAGCTTGGGACGGAAACAGCGAGTTGCCCTGTGGAGTCAAAAGGCCGTCGGCTCTACAGTACTTCAGTTCTTACTGCGGGGTTTATAACGCCTCCCTCACCCGTTAAATGGCGTTTTCTCTTCTTTCTGCTTTGGCGAGCCGCGGGCTCCATTTTGAGGACGTCGAACGCGTGAATAATTTGATGGCTCGCGACCCTGCATTTCACCCGGGCTTTGTAACGAGCAGGAGAAACGTTTGGGTAGGCGGCGGGTGGGCACCGGGTGGGGTTCCCGAGGAAGCGCCACGGAGCGCTCACCTGGGCAAGAGCCGAGAAACCTTTGCGAACTGACAGGACGCTCTTTCCAGAAGGGCTTTAAACCGCGGGCCCTCTTCGGTGGTGATAAGCGATCCGAGGTGAACAACTCCTGGCAAACCCTAGAGGGCGGCAAGGAGAAACCAGGAGCCCGGTCACTGCACGCTTAGGCGGAAGCGACTCGGAACTTGTGGGTGATTGGAGCTCTTTTGGAAAATCCCGCCGGAGCTCATGAGGTTATTTGGAGCGAACTCGTATGAAAGGCAAGTTTGGATAGCAGGCGAGACTAAAAAAAATGGGTTCATTTACTCTATACCTGGCGAGGGTGGGGGAGGGGAGAGAAAACCTAACCACTGAGGCTGCTTTATGCTTATGCTGTGCAGAGTCCAGCGACAAGGCCTGTTCAGTAAACCATGGTTTAGTTAACCATAGTCAAGCTCATTGTGTCAGCAACAGCTTTGTAAAATGCTTGAACTCCCACCATCACATCTTCAGTCGCATCTGATTCTCAGACTCCCTGGACAAATCCCTGCAGGTTCTGGGTAGGTTTTTCAGAAGTGGTTTGCCATTGCCTCCTTCCTAGGGCTGAGAGGTGACTGGCCCAAGGTCACCCTGCTGGCTTTGTGCCTAAAGCATGGGCTGATGCCTTGTCCATTACACCAAACTGGCTGTCACTATGAATGTAATATTCTTTAAAATAGCAGGAGGCTGGCAATGTTGCTGAACTTCTGGGAGCATTGGGGATTTGGAGAGATTGTACTGACACAAAGTAGATAGCATAGTGCAATTGCCTATTTCCAAAAGGGCTGTCACTGACAAAAGTCAGTCAGAGAATAAAGATCTATCAGAAGGCAAACTGGCCCTTGTTCCTTGCCCACCCACTTATGATAGTTCTTTATTTACTACCAATTGAAATGGGCTGTTTTCAAGCATAGGGCAGCCTTCCAAACAGTGCATTTCTAAGAATGCCTTTGGGGCCTATTTGGATCAGCAGTTTTGCACAATAAAGATATTGCTGGGGTGCTGTGCTTTGGTTAGCAGCATGGCAGGTTCTTGTTCCTTTATTTTAATTAAAAGATTTGTTTAAAACATACACATTAAGATAATAGGGAAAGCCTGGCAAACATCAGAAGAAGTGTTCTCAAGTATGTTTGCTGTTGTAGGTGTCAACTTGCCAATCTTGTTCTAATCAAGCTCCTCCAACTGATGCTGTCCAAATATTGTCCAGTTTGCCTACAACCACTAAGTAATAAATTAGCAACATTTTAGCCTAGCATGTGGTTCAAGCTCAGCTCTTGTAGTTACTGGTTCAGCCTGCCACACAAATCCAGAAAAAGTCTCCATTACATGAATGGATAACTGTTTTGGACTTCAGTTTCCATTATATGGTATGTCCTTGTTGGCTGTTCCAGTTAAGGCTGATGGGTATTGTAGTTCACAAATATTTAGGTTCCCTGAATGACTTGATCTTGTATGGTTACACAACACAATCCAAAGTTTTGTAATCACAAAATTGGTGATTTCATAACTCTGAAGTTAGTGTGTGTAATATTATTAAGATTAAGGAGTGATTTATGAAGTTTCTTAATTGAACTTTTACCCAATGCTATTATTTGAGGGGAAAAATTAAATCCTTTACAAGTAGTTCTCAACTTACAAATATTCACTTAGTGGACATTTAAAGTTACAATGGCACTAAAAAAAGTGACTTATCATTTTTCACACTTATGACCATTGCAGCATCCCCATGTTCATGTGATCACAATTCAGACGCTTGACAATTGGTCTGTATTTATGATGATTTAAGTGTCTTGAGGTCATGTGATCACCTTTTTGCCACCTTCTCACAAGCAATGGGGAAGCCAGATTCACTTAACAACTGTGGTAAGAAAGATTGAAAAATGGGGCAAAATCCATTAACAACTATCTTGCTTAGCAATGGAAATTTGGGGCTCAATTGTGGCTGTTAATATAGAAGTACCTATATAATTTATTTCTAAGTAAATATGTATAATATTACATATAGCAAAAGAAGAGGCAGAGCCAGGAGCGGAATCAAGAGAGGAATCAGCCTGGAGTCATTATGTTCCTGCAAACGGTCTAAGTCCAGTCCACCTTGAATGCCTTCCTAGCTTGTTTCCCTTGACTGTTAGTAGGTCAGATTCTTATAGAGAGCTTAAGTTTGCAATAAATCTTTATATTCATTTGAACTGCCTGAATCTCCTGATTTCCCCAGCGCTTGACATCAGCCCTCTTGAATTCTGCTAATACTTATCTAGCACTGTTAATGTATAAAAGGTGCATAGATATGAGCAATAAAATCAGTTTAACTGGAACCTAGTATGGTTCTGATTCTTGTACCTGACATTACACTACAGTTAGCTTTTACAATTTGTGTAAAATACTGTATTTTATTTATTTGGAAAGTTATACAGTGCCCTTTCAAACCATTTTTTTTAAATTTAAGACATAAAAACAGGAGCTGGTATATATGGTGTAGGTAGTAAAGCAGCAAGAAATAATGTATTGAACAATTTAAAAGTTCAATGATGGTACTGTAATATTAGCATATTAAAAGGTTTGGACAATTTTGGAATATTAATATATTAAAAGGTTTGGAAGATTGTAATTATTACTGAGCTGTCTATGTGTGATGATAATACCTTATATCAGGCATGTCAAACTCGCGACTTCACATGACGTCCTATGACATATCGTGACTTTTTCCCCATTGCTGGCAATGGGGTGGACGCAATTTTGGTGTGATGCATCCGGCCTGTGGACCGGCAGTTTAATATGCCTGCCTTATATAGAGAGGTAGGTCATGCAGGGTTTTCAGTCTTTAGGCTTTTTTTAAAATATAAAAGTGGTTATATAATATATAGGCAAATATTATCTTCCATAATATATGTACTGATTTCTATTGTTTCACTGTAATTTTTTAATTGAACAAGCTTTATAGATTCTTTTTAAGTGATAAAAAATTCTGCAAGTATCATGAAAAGAAACAGTGGGATAAAGTGCAAATGCTCCAAGCAATGTGCCTCAAGTATTCCATCTTTAGCTGTCCGGAAAAATCTGTTTTCTGTCTTTGAAAATACTAGTCAGAAAATAATCTGAACACATCTCTAAAGAATAGAGGACATGTATGTCATTTGAAGACAACAGAATTCTTGTAAGTAGGATGCATGGTTATGATAAATGCGTGCATCCTGTTTCTACAGCTAGCTAACAAAGCCAATTCCTGCTCCTTCTCAAAGGAAATTGCTTTTTTCTGTGCTAATTTGTGACAGGGAAATAAGGCTGTTAATAAACAATAGATCAAGCATTCACATTTAGCCAAGGGACTTTCATCAAGCTGTGAATGTAAGATTTTTAATGTGCATACCACACTAAGCTTTTTATAACTACCTAATACAGCATCAATGCCTATAAAATTCACTATATTTAAAAAGACATTTTTCCTCCTTTGCTAATGGGAAAACAATTTTACTGAGTAATACTTAATATGACAAGATTACAAGGCTGGATTTTCCCTACAGCTGATTCTTATTTTCAGGATTGTGAATTAAACTAGACCGAGCTACCCTTTTTATGTATGATCTTCCACACAAAAATTAGCAAAGAAAAAAAACATTTTTCAGCACTGTATGAATGCAATTTCCCTACACAGGTTTTAAGATAATTTCTAACATTTTCCTTGCTAACCTACCATAAGTATTTATAAAGTTAGTAGGCCTTAGAAAAAAATGCTTTTTCTGAAGAGTACTCATAGTTGATTATTATTAATTATTGTAAATAATTAAATAATTAAAGAAACAATCCCAGAGAAACTAAAAATACAAACTAAGAAAAAAGGAAAAAAAACTGTTTTTATACTTAGTAGACAGTGGTTTATTAATGAATATATTATAATCAATACAAAATATGATTATAAAATATCATAAAATCTCTCCCACAGTAAACACACACCAAGGAGAATTCAAGGGGTATATTGAGGCTTTCCAAGCCCCTCTTCCCCAGGAAATACCCAGTCCAGTGACAAGGCAACCCTTCAGGTTCCCAGCTCAGTTCTGGGAAGCTGGAGCAATCCACAAGGCAAGACAAAATAGAAGCAAGGCAAGGTATCCAACACCAAGGTCCACCATCCGGAGCCTGGAGAACAGGATTCAAGGCAAAGGCAGTCCAAGAGTCAAGGCAGGACTCCAGTGTCTAAAATCCACTGTCAGGTTCAGGAAGCTCAACCAACTGACTGGCAAACACTAGGCACCAAAATGGGTTGTTCCTAGCATCATT